TACCATATCGCTAGAGTTTTTTTTTGGGGGGGGAGGGGGGAGGGAAGAGATAGCCAATGATTCTTGAGACAAAATACGATTGGAATATGATTGTAAAGGAATGAAAATGTTTTCCGTCCAAAATGCAAAGAAAGTTTTCAAATGCAACTTTCTCGATCTCTTATCAGCATCTCATCTTATGTAAAGTCTACTTTAACTGATTATAAATATAGAGGCAAGACCGATACAACGTAGATAAGTTTTAAAACGGAGCACTATATTTCGGCTAGCCAAACCAGCCTTCTTCAGGAGCAGTGGCAAACTTTGTTGGAAATTTACAATTGGGATTGAAATAAGCTGCACGAAATAAATATTTGATTCATCTCACCTAACTCGCCGAACAAACTAGAATCTGATGTTCTGACCGCCGTTGACTGCGAGTTTGGAAACGCTGGTACCTTTACTGAGATTTTGGGTGTCACTGTAACTGTAATGGATGCTCCAGCTTCCAGTTGCGAATCTGGGTTTTTCCAGTCTTTGCTGAGACTAACCTACAATGGTAATGCGTCCAAAAAAGTTAAAATTTGATCTCACTAGGAGAAAAAAATTGTGAAAAACTGAAATCAGTAAGAGAACAAAGGAACAAGAAGAAGAAGAAGAGGACGAAAGGTGATTCTGAAGAAGGAGTACGAGGAGAACGACAAATAAGAGAAACAAAATTACAAAGATCGAGGTTCGGAAGACGAATGACATTATCACAATTGAGAAGCCAAGCCTCTTGATTGAAGTCACGATAAAAGAAATCCAAAAACGGAGAATGATGCTAATCGTAGAAAAGCTTATAAGCCACATGATTTTTGAACACTTTCGTGAAAGATTGGCAGTGTTGCATCCTTGACATGGAGCAAGAGGTACAGGCCTCTGCAAGAAAAAATAAGAGTACACCGAGCACTTTGAATGATCAATAAACTGAAAAATACAGTGTTATTTTCTTCCCTTACAGTATTAGCAGTTTTGTAGCAACTTCCGCGGCTCCAACTGCATTCACCTCCTAGAGATACTGCTCCGTTTACGGATATTGAACGAGAAATTTTTCCCTGATGACAAAAAAAAAAAAAAAAAACAGAAAAGAAATAAAAGAAAAAACTAACTCAAACTCTTTGAACATAAACGATCTTGAGAGCATTTATTGCTAATATAAGCTACGTTGCCATGGCATTAACCTTTGTGGAATCATTGTTGTCTTTATGGCTTAGGTTCGTTTTTTCCCTATCCTTAATCAGGTCATAACAACTACTGCAGGTTGGACACACATCCTTACGTCCAGCCACTGATTTCGCACCAACCAGCCAACAAATTGTAAAAGCAACCAGCGGCCTGACTGAATGGCAAGCTGACTGGCTTAAATGAGAGATATGTGATATTCCCGGTGTTTTTGATGAAACTAAAACGTTATTAAATCGCCCCACCAACTTACAGATAATCCAGCAGATGCATGTCCTGTTATTTCCAAGAAAATCCCAGCAGGAATTTTAATTGGCCCAACAGGAATATAAATTGAGCGACCGAGCTGTTTTTTTCTCATGATTTTTAGGCCTTTGTTATACCTAGAGACAACGTAAAATGAGATGATTGATTAAACACTATCACTTATGTGAGTTTTGTTTGCAAGCAGAATAAATGGGTACACTAAATCGCACAACAATCGATTTAAGAACCATCAAACCGTCTGCCTTAAAAAAAATAAAAAAATAAAAAACAGTTTCTTCGATTACATTTTACTTTGTTCTTTTTCTTGCCGAAAAAAATAACTTAGAGTTATCTCTGGGTACGTCAACATTTCTTACCTTAACTCCCCATTAACAGCAAATTCCAGAGAAAAATCTAAGCTCCCCTCTAACTCTAGACCAGCAGTAGCCTCCTCTATTCCAAGTCCGAACCACTTTTTTTCTATCTCAAGAAACATAGTCACTTTAAAGAACATTTCCAAAGAGACTTGTACCTTGGCGCTTTTCGTTGACAGCAACTGAAGAAAATGGAAATTTCACAAGACTTCATTTTGTGGAGAAACTGAGTGTGTCTCGTTAGGAAATGGATTGTTCAATCAAATGGGAAAATGATACAGTTTGACGTTAGAGCAATTAAATTAAGAAGTTTGGAGCGTTCATTTTAGTACAATGAATTTTTAACATGTCTTTTCGCTTCGTTTGTGCGGTTAAAGAATCTCGCATCAAAAAGAAGAAAAACCAGCAAAATCTAATATTTGAAAGGTAAGTGATAAACAACACTGAAGAAAAGTGAGTTTAGGGCGAGGAAGATTTAGATGGGTAATAGACAGCAACCTTAACATATAGTAATTACATAATTCTCGGTTTGGTTACAAGACTTTCGTTGAAACTTGATGTACCTTGTGATGTATTCCGTTGGGTTCGAACCTTGCCACTTCAAAATCGTATCTCGTTGAGCGCCTGCGTCTTCTGTTGTGGCTTTTCAGCATATTTATATCTACAGCTGTTGTAATAGTTCCATTTTTGTCCAGTATGGCCGAAATTACCTCCACCAGAAGAAAATTTCCGCTGGATTGGGCTTCTATAACCTACAGTTTGAGGTAATATTAGATTGTAGAGTTCAGATGATTACCAAACCCAGCTGACAAAAATAAGACTAAAACAAAACACAGAAACAGGTCGAGAAAGACAGCAGAACCCAGCTCGATTCCATTGAAACCTCGAATTAAAAAGTTTGTGGTACATTTTTCTCTCCCCAAGGAGGGAAGACTGTTTGATTCATAAAGATGGAGATTACCGCGGATTACAAAAAGTATCGTGAGTTTTTATTGAGTTGGCTCATCATTCTGAAAGATCCTCCACTTACCGAACGATAGAGGCAATCTATCTAACCAACCAGGCTAGTCAATGATTGACGTCATCCAATTTGCTTATTTAAGATGCATGTATCTCAGTTTGCTGAACTAACTTGGACTTCACAATTAACAAATGGTAAACACCACAGCGTACACTATTGAGTTATGGATGCACGCGGGAGGTTGCTAAGCACGAAAGAAGCGTAAGAGTCGCTCGAGGCGATAGCCGAGAGCGACTCTAGCTTCTTGAGTGCTTAGCAAACCTCCCAAGTGCATCCATAACTCAATAGTGTACGCTGTGGTGTTTACCATTTGTTTTATAACATAACATTGATACATTGTAGCTAAAGAGTTCCCTTTTATTTAACAAATCTTACGCGACCAGAAAAAAACAAGCGCGCGCGGAAAAATAGTCTTCGCATTTGCTCACGTCAGCAGCGTACACCCATGGGCAAATGGGGGACGCTAAATTGACCAATCAGAGCGCGCGCCTTACTTTGGTTATGTTATAAATACGAACAATACCTTCGCGATGAAGCCTCTGCTGGGTCTTCCGATAATGGAGTCATTGATAGAAAACTGCCGCCCTCGGCTCTCTGGTTTTGACAGGAGAAGACCTTCGTTGTTGTCCCCTCCTCTACAGGATACTGACTTAGAAAGCCTTTGTTTACTTTCCTGTAGACTGGTTTTCAAGGGTGAGTAAAAGAAATTAACTTAAACGAAAATTTAAGCATTGTTCTATCCTAGTATTCAAGTTCTTGAGCTATGGAGAAGGAAGTGTTCACTTCAGTTTCACCAAAGCAAATTATAGTATGGCAACTAGGTCAATCTCTTTTTAAACGCAGGTTACGGAAATGGTTGCGACGTGGTAGATGTGGGTGCAATTTCTTTCCTGTCAAATGTTCCATATCCCAATTGAGCTTAACTTAATGTGTACAAAGCGTGGCCCGTCTCCGCAGGGACGTTGGCCTAACAACATACATCACTAAGATTAGACCCGTGTTAGAATTTGCCTCGCCTGTCTGAGGAGGGCTGCTCATCTACCTCGAAGAAGATCTACAGAGAGTGCAGAACAGATGTCTAAATGTCATAGGACTCCCTAGGGATACTGTTGAGTCACTTGTAACTAAGCGTCAGAAGTTGACGAGGAAAGAATTTAAACGTATCCTAGAATCTAAAGCGCATTCTTATAAACGTCTTTTAAACAAGGCTGTGGATCATGGCCATAACCTAAGATCTTGTAAACGAACCCAGCGCACATCAGAATACCTGCATCACGCACTATTAGGCACAAACAATCGTTTATTCCTAGAGGTGCTAAAATTAACTTAATTTGACATAACTTAGTGGTATATATATTTGTTGTGTTTTGAATTTTTGAATTTTTTTTTTAATGTAATATTACCGTAATTCTTAACGCCAAAGGTACTAAATAAAGGTAATATATAGATTTAGTCAAGCCTAAAAGCGGAGCTCCCAATAAGTGAAAATTTTGCAATAAAATTACTTCACATAAACTATAAATTTTTAGCCAAAAATTCATTCAGTATTGATTAAACCCATTGACACTTAGATGTAACACGTGCTTGTGAAAAGTCAAAATTTTGGAGAAACCAAGAAAGCAAACAAAGTGCGCAGTAAATTTTTAAAAATCTTCTTTCCGAAAAACAAGCTACAGTGAAAGAAGACTAATTAAAGAACTTATTTCCCACGAAAAAAGCGATAGGTGCATATTACGTTTTAACTCAAAAATCAAGATGATAGATCAAAATCGCTAAATATTTTCGCAGGTGTGCAAATGGGCATGTGGATCATATTTCAAAAATCGGTCAGTGTAAAGCGAAGACTGCGGACTGCAAACTGGGGATAAAATGCAGACTGAGGGTAAAATGCAGACTGAGGGTAAAATGCAGACTGAGGGTAAAATGCAGACTGAGGGTAAAATGAAGACTGCGGACTGCAGACTGCGGACTGCAGACCGCAGACCAGGGGTAAAATGCAGACTGAGGGTAAAATAAAATATTAATAATAAATAACAAGACTTGGGAGTGTTCCTACGCGTACCCGTAATTTTTTTTTTCAAAATCCCGAAAACTCAAACCAAAAGGCGTTTATTC